CTTGGGCAACTCTATTCTGAATAACGATAAACACCCGCTGTATAATTCGTTCTCCCGCTGTATCTCAAGACATGAAGCCACAGGAAATAAGTTCAGACATATCTATGCAATAATAGAAAAGTACAAATGCTCTCATTACGAAGCATCAAAAATCATCGTTCATAGCTTATGAAAGAACTTTCATGCTGAGGTTTTTCCTTTCCTCCTTTTTCGTTCCTTTTGTTGCTTTTGTTTTGCTTAAAGCTCATACATGGCTTCCCTTTCGGCAGTATTTTCTGTGGCACCATAACCTAATAAATCTTATTGATTTATTGAGAAAACAAAAATTACTTCTGGTACAAAAACGTTGAAACGAATTAGTGATGTTCTGAGCAGAAGGAACAGAAAACCTACTTCCTGATGTGTCTCAGTAGAAATTTTTCACTTCGCTGCCAAGTAATGTCTATTACGCTGAATATATCGCCAAATAGTTCGGCATTTCAGCTAGACTAAAACTGCGAAAGATTTGAAGAGAGAGCAAAACACTGAAAAGTGTGACTATTCTAAAAGAAGCTTAACATTTCATTGTACATCGGTCATATGAATTGGCACTTTGTAACAAGGTATCAAATAATCCACAACAGACTTGTATTATCTTCTGTATTCACCATGTTTGGAGCTGTGATTGAATTTGTGCGCTGTTTAGTGGAACAATGACATTGATAAGATTTGCGGCAAGCTTAGTGCTATGATTGCTAATTGCATTATATTTAACGAAATAACATGTCATGGATAGCATAGTGGTTTACAGTAAGATATCGGTGGAGAGTGAAGAAAATAGACAAGCACGCATAAAACAAAGATATATATTTAACACATGCAAGCATTATTATTTGTTGTTAAACTACGATAGGGGCGTTAAGCAAACTGGTTATATTGAAACAGTTGGTCTTCAGCTGTTAACCGTCACAAATATTTTCGGACAATTTTTATTTTATTTGTCATTTCCATTCCTAGCTGAGAGTGGACAAAATTCAAAATAATGAACGGCGCTCGCTGATAAGCTTAGCGGATTGTGAGCTAAGGCGTCAAATAAACCCCGCAGACCTGGCTAATCTAGATGAGTTCAGAAATCAATGAGTCAGAGGCTAAGGATTTTTAAAACATCGCGACTATAAAACTAGACGGGCGAATCGAATCTTCGTTTCATACTTTGCGTTTAGCGAAATATCTATAAATCAATTGAGTCTGCCAATGCACCTCAGAATAAATGTCTACCAAACCCCCAACACGGTCATGTATCAAATGAATCTGAACATCAGATGGCACGTTATGCAGATTTGTGTCACATCAGCCTTTTTGAGCACTTCCTTAGAGTTCTTCCTCCAATTAATAGAGACACTCATTTACTATCTTGGCATTGCATCTAAGTAGGTGGGTGAGGTCGGTTCACTGACGCAGTTGATGATTTCCGTGCACAATATACCTCAAGTTTCAAATTTTCAATGTACGGATTAAGGAGCTGTCCATGAATCGAGCTCGTCGCGTTTTTCCAAAGTTGGGCTGTGTCAGCTGTAGAAATCAAAGTAATAAAGTTTGGCAGACGAAATTTTAATTATCCATAAGCTTACGATCTCTTTGTAGAGAATTCGTCGATGAGTAATTTATGACTTTATGTATTTTCCTTCATGAGCTGGCTATCGATGGACAATGTATTTGCCCGCAAGAATTATAAATGCATTTCGTTATGAATGTTCAAGTTACAGCAACTTCACATGCTCTGCTTCGCTACACTCATGATGTCCAATACGCAGGAACATTACGAATCCTACCATTCTTTCATTTCATGGCAAGGCTAGACGCAGCCTCAGGTTTGAGGATTTGCCTCACGGTTAATGTAATTGCCCGTTAACACTTTTCTGCTACAGTATAGACATAATTCAACTTGCAACCACAGTAAGTTCGTCTAGTTTTGCTCCATGCGACTCATTCAGCATCTCAAACAGTGGAAATTATATGACCAAAATCTCATATCTCACATGGCCAAAATATCGAAACTTCATAACATGCACAGAATTATTGGTTGTTGACCTGTTCAGTTCCAGCAAGAGACTATTACTTATACTACTAACTGTCAGATGTTTCACAATTAGATAAAATAACATCTTTCACAACGCAGTCTTTAAAATTAACATTGCTGCTGTTACATGAATGAACACACATAACAAATTTGACAGCGCATTATTTCACTCACGGACACGAACAACCGTGCGTTTAAACTGAAGTCGACCGACCAACAGCAAAATCCATTTGTTATATAGGAAGCTATGGTTAGAACACATCTACTGTATTTGTCGCGTTACTTTTTGATTATTATTAGGAAACGCTTGGACTGCATTAAGTCGAATAGAATCGAAACGTTTGGCTATGATCATCTTATGCAAACTTCAAGTTTTTATTGGGCTTTTAGTTTTGCACACCTCTCTGCCTACTAAGTCACTTTTCAGGTGGCACACAATTACAGCCCTGGGCATCTCTGAGTCTGGGTTTTCAATTTGACTCGCTGGCGTCCCGGATGATTCGTCTATGTGTTGCAACCGACACTTGAATTTTGCAGACTAACTTCTCCATTACTTATGTCATTTCCACTAATCGCGTTTCATTAACCTTGAATTACCGAAAACATTATCAATTTTTATAAACTTAAGGCTTACACGGTAAAAAATTTGTTTTCTCAAAATCAAACTACGATTTGACGTAAATATATAAATAAATATGCTACCAGCTGCACAAGGCATATATTCTTTCATTTACGTGAACAACTAGCAACAGCAAATGCATACTGTTCTATACAGAAGCTGTAATTAAAACACATTTTCTTTATTTATCGCCATATCTCTTAATTAGCAAAAGCGAACATCTTTATATACCGAGTGAACCTGAGCATCAACTTAAACAATTTTATGCAAATCTTATCACATGATCACTTCTGTACACCTCTTCAGATTTCAGTAGCTTTTAAGGTGACGTTATTGTTGGTCCGGTGCGCATCGCTGGCGTAGGTTATTTGCCTTGATTCGCTGATATTGTAGACGGTTATTATGCGCGGTAGAATATGCATTTCAAATTTGCGCTTATTTAAATTATGACATCTGATGCTGTTGCCACTCAACGCATTTCATTAATTTTGAACTGTTTTAACTATGGTTAAGTTTTGTTAAGTCTTCCATGATTGAAGATGCCTTCTTGCAAAACCAATTTTTATTTGATGTATATATCTATTTTTTCCTTTAGCACATAATGATACTGAGGCAGCTTAAGTACAGATTTTAGTTTTTGACTATCGAACATTCTTAAGCTTATGAAGGATCAAAGATCATTTGAATGAGTACTTTTTTTCGCGTTTATCACTGATTAAGCTTAGCTTTCAGATACATATGCTAGAAGTATGATGATTTATGTTCCCCTAATGATAAACAATTTCTAGAAAGTTGCCGAGGCCATGATTCATTGATGCTAATATTAGTAACGAGCAAAAGTTATGTTGTGTTTGATGCTGATAAGTTTTCGATTCTTCCTTTTGTTACTCATTTCCCTCATTTCTCATAAAGAAAGGATTTCTTTTCATCGTTCAGTTTGGTGAATCTGATTAATTGTCTCAACACAGGTGGTGTTATATAGCCAAACGAACCTTTAAGTGTTTGTTATTGTATTACAAACGTTTAATTGCTGTGCATATTTGGATTAGACCACTGCTGTTCAGACGTGACACTGTCCTGTTAATGAGACGTTTCACACTACAATAAATGGAAACAAGGAAAATGGCAGAAGGTGTGCATTAAATGGTGAGCTTCGGAGCTCATCTCCTAGGATCGATCGTTAATTAACAGTTTACGTAATCTGCAGATTCTCTGTCTCACTGTCACAACAGGAGTGCTTACTGTAATAAAAATAACTTTTTTATTTTACCTGCAGAGTTACTGCCCGCGGTGTGCCAATCGCTCACTGACATAACATATTCATCCGCCGGAATATCTGCGAAGTTTCTCTTGGAATCATCCCTAGCATTTCACTTCCTCGAAATTATCGCCCTTTGCTAGTAGCAGTTCCGATGGGTCCAGCAAAAGTGCTTAATTTTAAAGCTGGTAGCATCACCACACTCCACTCTTTTCCACGCAGTGATATCCATTTCTCTGCCTCAAAGAGCGGAAGTTGAGCGACCTTAGGGCACTTAAAACAAGGGACTTAGTAACTCCGTAACTTTCAACATCTGCAATAAGAGACCCTGCAGCCACGCGATCTGCAAGTGGGGAGTGAGCTACACCTGCTTTCATGGCTCCTGTGCTTTTGCGCATTTGACTGAAGCTACGAGAATGCATAAACTGAAAACTACGTCAATCAGTGAAATGAAGATCTTGTATCTGATGAGTACGATGCC